AAATCATTCTGTAAAAATTATCTTTGAAAAAAAAATTAATTAAAACTAAAATCATTTAATCAATCAACTATAACAAATAGATAAATCGTTTATAATGTTTTTACCAAATACGCAATCTGTCTTTATACAGTTCGATGACTAAACGATTTTAGTTGCATGTAATTGTTTTTTATTTTTTTAGAAATGATCTTTACAGAAAAATTTATAATATTGAACTGTTCTGATCGTAAACAAAAATTCTATAAAAAAAACCACAAAATATTTTAAGGAGAAGTTTACTCTCAATCCTTGAAGAGCCAAGTGTTTCTCTTAACTTACAATTTCGGCCCAACCGACTAGGTCAGTTTGGATTTGATTTTGGCCCAAAACTGATCCAAACCAACCCATACCCACCCTTACTTTAGAGTTTAGACTACCGTGGTGGTTCACCCACTGGATCCCTGCTCTCTATCCACACCAGCAACACCACCACAAAAACACAAACTGATTTTAAAAAGACAAGTACCGGAGATCAAGCTCGGCCCAATTGCGTATATTGTTTGCTTCCAGTCCGGGCGGCGCGAGCGAGCGAGAGAACGCGCACGGGAGAGAGAGGAGAGAGAGCGCGAGAGGTTGGTCAGGTCAGGTGTCTAGGGTTTTGAAAATCCCAGAAATTGATTGATGGATTGAGATTGCACAAGGTTAGTGAGCGCGTAAACGAACAGATTTCATGCCCTAAATTTCAGTTTTTCTCTAATTGAATCCCAATTTTCGTAAATTGAAGAAAACAGAAAGAAAAAATGTCGATTTCCAAAATGGTGAGTTTGATTTGGTTTATGCCGATTGTGTGTGAGAAAGAGGTGTGCTTATCATGTGCAGGGAGCGAGTGTGATAGATTTGTTAGAGAGAGAGTGCTTAGAAGAACAAAAAGCTCTCTTTTTTCAATTTTAGGGTTTCTTTGCCCCCTTTTGAGCTGCCTTCTCCAATTACTTCATGGACCGTAAGCTCGTGGTAAGTTGTTTTATTTATTTGAATTTTTTTTTTTTTGGCCTATGTATTAAATTTTGCATATTTATTAATGGGTTGATGGAATTTATTTGAATTGGGTTGTTTGTGATCGTAATTCAGGTTTTGGGCATTCCGTGGGATATCGATACGGAAGGGCTGAGAGAGTATATGGTCAAATTTGGGGAATTGGAGGATTGCATTGTCATGAAGGTTTGCCAATCACCCAACCCTTTTTGCTTCGCTAATGCTGTTGTTCCTTTTCAAAATTTATTTATCTGTGTTCCTCTTGTGCTTTACTACTTGAATTAATTTTGTAAGTTAGTTTTGTCGCCGCTTGGTTTGGAAGGTGAGTGTTGCGCAAATTTCGTGTAACATTTCGTTTCTCTCTAACCTTAAAAGCATTTGTTACTGTATTTGTTTCCATATTTATTAGGATCGGTCAACTGGTCGGTCTCGTGGATTTGGATATGCAACATTTGTATCTGCTGAAGATGCGAAGGTGAGTTGGATTAGAATTTTCTAAGGGTCCTGTTTGTACCGGCTAAATGTTTTCAATGGTTGTAATATTGCATGATCACTTAGTTAGGAAACGTAAATGTCTTAAGAATCTTAAGAATTAGGATCAACAGTCAGTATCAGATTTCTAATACCTTACATCCTTTTTGCTATAGAATGCAGCATCAAGTGAGCACTTTCTTGGCAATCGAATGCTGGAAGTTAAAATAGCTACTCCAAAGGTGATATAAATTCATAACAAGCATTGCTTTAATACTGTTCGCAAATTTTTATTTTGGTTAATCATAATTGTCGTCCATGTGTATTGTGTTTCTTTAACATAACAAGTTTTATGGGCTGTATTGCCAACAATCTTTTTTTCTTTTTTCTTTTTTATTTTTATTTACAGGAGGAGATGAGAGCACCTGCAAGAAAAGTTACCAGGATATTTGTTGCAAGGATCCCACAATCTGTGACAGAAGCAAACTTTAGAAGGTACTTAAATGTATTATTGTTGCAAGATGTTAGCTATCGTTGTTAAATTCTTTGTATACTATTTTGTGAGTTATGATGTGGAATTAACCTGATGTTTCTTTGAATTTCTTTTGCAGTCATTTTGAGAAATATGGTGACATAACGGATTTATACATGCCAAAGGTTCTCTATCGAGCTCTTCAAACTCACATTATATTAGATGTTGTAATTTTGTGTGTGTTAATGTTTCAGTACATATCCTTCCAAGTCTTGTAAATTTGCATAGATATGTCTGTGCACGTACCCACCAAGACACACATTTACCTTTCGAATTATTGCTGGGTTGGACCTAGTATCCTATGATTGTCACAAATATGTTTTTTCAGGATCAAGGCTCAAAAGCACATCGTGGAATTGGGTTTATAACATTTGAAAATGCAGGTCAGACCATCTCATATATTCTCATGTCTTGCATCATGCCTAATGTCAGTTTCCGTTTTCCATTTGAATTGAAGTCCTTTCGTGGAAACATTAAGTTAGTAGTTTGCCTTTACTTGAGCTTGCAATGGACATAAATTTATTTGTGATGATGTGGGAAACACGTGTGGTGAGACCGTGAGATAGGGGAGAATTAAAGGTCAGTGGCATTTTGTTGCATGGAACTATGGAAGAAAAGATGTTTTCCTCTAGCACATTTGATTACTTTATATGTTCTTTTCAGTGGCATTTACATCTGAAATTCTTTACATTTTGATGTCATGTTTTGTTTTTCCATTAAGTCTTGTAAGAAGTGGTTAGTTTATCATTATCCAAAATAGGAATTGGATATAATGTGTTAGCTTCATTAGGATAGGTGATCTGGGAGCTGATTGTATGATATATTCCTTTGTGGTTGATATCATTATAGTTTTGAGGAAAAGTACTGGACAAACAAATGTTCTTTGTTGCAGATTCCGTGGAAACTTTGATGGTTGATACTCATGAATTAGGCGGTTCCAATGTAGTTGTTGATCGAGCTACACCCAAGGCAAGTTACAGCTTTGACAATCTGTACTCCTTCGTTTTTTGAATTTATAGCACTAATTCCTTTTGAAGTTTAAAAATTGGTTGTACAGATATCACTAATTCAAGAATCAAGATACATAATTTCTTGTTTTCAGGAAGAAGACTTCAGACCAGTTGGAAGAATGGCACAACAGGGTGGCTATGGTGCATATAATGCTTACATCTCAGCAGCAACTAGATATGCAGCCCTCGGGGCTCCTACTTTGTATGACCATCCTGTACCTGGACCAGCTTTTCCAAGTAAGTACCATTACAAGTTACAACACAATGCATTTCATTTGAAGAATATTAAATTGCACTTTATGTGACTACTCAGAAGTTACAACTAAAAAAAAAATCTTGTGTTGCAATAGGAGGGGAATCTTCTCGAGGACTAGGCAAAAAGATCTTTGTTGGCAGGCTTCCTCAGGAAGCAACCTCTGATGATCTCCGCCAGTATTTTGGGAGATTTGGTCGTATAGTAGATGTCTATGTTCCAAGGGTAAGATATCATATATTTTGTAATTAACTAACTGTATTCTTGATATTGGAACCTGAAAATGTGCAAATACTCAATTATGCAGGACCCCAAAAGAACTGGGCATAGAGGATTTGGTTTTGTAACTTTTGGGGAAGATGGCGTAGCCGAACGTGTATCACGAAGGTCTCATGAGATTTGTGGCCAGCAGGTAGTAGAAGGAAGCGAAGTTTCATTGTACCTGTTCACTTATGTTTCATTAAGATGGAACTTAATACGTTGTTCTGTAGGTTGCAATAGATACAGCCACACCTCCCGAGGATGCTGGTATGAGTGGAAATTTTATGATGAATAATGTAGATCCCTTTGCCGGCTATGGTGGTCCTATGCGCTCCTATGGTAGGATGTATGGAAGTCTGGATTTTGATGATGTGAGTATATTTTATATGTTCAGTAAGATGTACACATGGCAGAGTAGAGTTCAAAAGATAATGATTATATGGGTGACAATCGGTGTCCTGCAATAGACCTTTACTAACATACTGCATCTCTAAATTTTGCAGTGGGGTTACGGAATTGGCAGTGGAGTCGGCGTTGCGAGACCATCAAGAGCAAACTGGAGGTACAGGCCATACTAGGGAGATATGGCTCGGGAAATTTGGTAGATTAAGGATCGCATCCTCAGTTGACGCCCCCAATAATGTTCTTGTCGGACTTTTGAAATAGTTTGGTTTCTATGATCCAGTGAAGATATAGGCGAGTAGGAATGGCCAAATCTGTCATATTAGCATGCTGGCGAGTCCAGGAACTGGGATCGTGGTTCCTTTTTGTAGCAATTTCTATGTTTGTTGACTCATTACCCGGGTTATATATGGATAATTGCAAATTCGGGGTTTTTATTTTGTTCAGTTTATGTTTATTGAGTGGGTCGGTATTCCATTTTCCATCGTTTAATTTGGTAATGTCGTTTGTATGAATTGGTGTTCAACCAGGGTCAGTTCGCCGGTGTTCAACCAGTCAGGTCGCCGGTCTTTGGTCACTGAAACCCCGACTGTTTAATACTTGAAACAGCTGAAAATTCGTAAAAGCGATATGAGGATTGAGATTGAGTGTGAGGAGAGGGTTTGTTTTTGGCCGATTTAGTGCTCCGTTGTCGCCGCCGCTGTGTATCCATGTTGGTTGGTAAACTGAGTCGATGCGAGCCGAGCGAGAGGAAAGTGAAGGTTGAATGAATTGAGCCAATAACATTCATTACTCATGACTTGTCTGGCCTACCTAATTGAGAGCGCATTGGTGATGTTGATGATCTATCATTAATCTTCAAGTACTTTCTACACTTCCTGAGTAGGAAGTTCTTTTTCGGTATTGGATCCGCTCTCCTGTTAGCATGAACATGAATTTCATTCTATTCGTCGTCTTTATTCCTATGGGAACTCCCCATCCGAACCACTTTTAAGACCACCAAGCCCTTTCGAATGAGTTTTACTATAGAAGCTTTCAACGTACACCCATGGACAAAGACTGATCATTGGGAATGCAATGCATTATGCGCAGAACCAAAATGACATGGTAAAAGGCCAAAAGAATTAGGAAGCATCACAGGTGAAGCAACTGCGTAGGGAACCCATCCGGACATGTTTACCAAGGGGACGAGCCTTCTCGGAAGTTTTGGGAGCTTGCTCGTTGTCTTTCGTTGGCACTGAGCTTCTCATTTTGTGAGCTTTAACTTGTGCATTTCTCAACTTCTTCGTGATCTTATCCATCATCGACGATCTCTTCTTTTCCAATTTCATCTGCAACAAACCAACTTTGTAGTTACTAATGGCTACAACATACATAGACAAATATTTGTGTTAAGCATTTTGCAAGAAAGAGAAACCTCAAGTTTTCTTAATGCTGCTTCAGCTTTTGCCGTCTGCAAGTTTTCCCATGCAGTGATCTTGGCTTCCTCTCTTTGCCACCTGCATACATGGTCAGAAAGATTTGGCTCTGTGATCCATGTTTCGTCAACAATTCAATGGTTACGATTACAAATTTCGGGAATTACCTTGAAATGTTCATAGCTGCATCTGCAGCATCAAAAGATGAAGCTTGATTTTCGATAGCAATTTTGTCAAAATCATAAACATCCGGCGGTCCTTTCGTGTTGCTTCCACGTCCTCTAGTTCTGGACCCCTTAGTAACATTGGTTCCATTGTCTACCCGCACTTCCCTGACCTCCAATTTGGCAAAATGGTCGTGCTGCTGCTCCACAATGGAAATGAGATTTGGAGACGATGGAGCAAATGATGACCTCCTATTAGGAGGTGGTGGTGAGTGGAGGCAGCCCTTCGGGCTTATTTGGGTTGCCATGTCTCGTTGCGAAACAGCTCGAGGAATTCCCGGCTCCGCAGACTTTTTTGTATCCAGTTTCTCATCTGCATATTTTACATGTTGATTTTAGCCATGAATCATTCGGTATTCGACACAGCTCGAGAAAATTAAGAATGGAACTAGCAACAAAATTAGACACCAAAACCCCGAACCCCTCATGATTAATTGAAATTTCGATTACATATCTGATACGAAATTTGATAGTTTGACAACATAACATATACAATATCTAACACGAAACATGCTGCTATTGAAGATGGGAAAGAACTCACTTTGCAATTCAGACAATCCAAGCACACTACTTGGTCTTCCCGTTCCTCCACTCCCACCATAGAGAAGAGAGACACTATCAGCAGCCAAAATTCCCGTTGAGAATGGCGAAGCAATCATGAAATTTCTCACAATGCCACCATCAAATGCCGGATTTGCAGGCGAATAGTTCGAGTAGTGTACAACCCCAGAAGGAGGCACAATTGGACCACTCATGGACTTAGGCCTCCTCTGCTGATCCTGAGAGTGTGAGCTCTTGTTGCTCTCCCCATATCCGATCACGGGGCTGCATATCCACCTCTCAGCATCCTCCCATTTTGAAGGCATAGTCCTCCCACCGTTACTCAACCCCATCAAAGAAGTGTTCCCGTTGACGATATGCCTCTGTCCACTGCTTGTCGGCAACGGCACACGCTCCGAGCTCCAACCCTTTTGGCCTCCAATTCCATTACCGCGACAATCGGAGACTCCTAGGGTTGGAAATAAACCCAAATCATGAGAAACAGAACCTCTATTCATGTTACAAAATATGTTCTCAAGTTGTAATATTGATTAAGCATATGATGTTTGTTGCAAGACGCTTATAACTCAGTTGGTTAAAGGCATACGCACTCCCTACACTCAAAGGCTTTGAGTTCAATTCCCCCCTTACTCAATATCGCTTGCATTAAAAGAAAAAATGCATATGAAGTTTTGCTCAATGTACTTTCTTCATTTGCAGTTGCAGCAAAGAACATGTTGACACAGCTGTAGTTTTGGCATTTTTGGCGCGGTGGCTACTTCAATTTCATTGGATTTGGACCACTCAAAAGTTCACTCATGAAATTCCACGTATAGCTGCCAAAGTTGTGAATCAAATCAAAGACTTGGACAGTAGGGAAGTAGACAACAGCATTAAAAGCATGGTATCGTTTGTCCCAATCAAGGGCATTGTTGCATGCTTTGATGGCTCACTATTTCTTTGTAATCTCTGTTAGGTCATTTTAATCGTTGTTAAACGTTTAATTGCTTTCCACCGTCCCATATCTTAATAAGCGATTGATGTCCATCAAAATCTTACTGTTTGTACAAGTAGAGATATTAAGGAAAAGTTCTTTTGCAAGAAAATGGTCTGGTTACAATGCTATGTTCCATACAAATTTTATTAAAGATTTAACCGTTGGATAATTTATTAAATTTTTATATGCAAAGTCTAAATCGTTGATTTTCTAATTCATTTAGTAATACGTACAATAAAAGAAAAATTTATCGAGAACATAAAATACTTTTGTTACCGGTAGTAAAAATGATGTATTTATGTATTATATATTAACGATATGATAAGATAAATCTCTGAGAACAATCGTCTCATATATAGGAAACCTTTAAGGGACGAGATCCTATTTTTATTTTTTTTATAATAAAAATGGGAATTAGTTAAAAAAATAGGGATTAGTTGTAGGGTCCACACCACATTGAACTTTAACGATCTGAACCATCTATTTTTCAAGTTGCACCTCATAGATCATCCTTACAAAATATTAGCCAAATCGGAAATATTTAAGATGTCTAGTTGGGTTAAAAAAATTGACGAATACTTTGTTATATAAGAAATAATGAAAATTTATCTTGATAACTAAATAAACAAATGATTTCGGATTGAATTGAATTATTGTAAGAATGATCTATGAATCGAGATTTACAAAATAGACGATTTGGATCGCTGAAGTTCGATGTGAAGTGAGCTCTACACCTAATCTCTATTTTTTGAAAAAAATGAGAATCCCTATGCATAAAAGGTCTGCTCTATATATATATATATATATATATATATATATATATATATATATATATATATATTTTTTTTTTTTTTTTTTATTCATTTTATTTCATTTTTTTGGGGGGTTTTGATTGCTGGCAGGTCGGTGGTGATTCAGACGCCAGGCATCTCGGTAGTGGTGTGGGCAACCCCCATCCAAATACGAGCTGCAGTTAGTCATGATAGGATGGGCCAGTGAGGTCTAAGGTCAATTTTGATTGATGACTAGAGAAAACTCAAGCGTTTATCCGTGCATTTTTGCCGATTGAAGTTTTGGTACTTTAAATCAAAGTTTTTAATTTACAAGTAGCATTTTATTATAGTGATAGAAAAGTGTTAAGTATTTGCATGACAGCGTGAGTTCAAATCTGTTGATTGTTACTCTAATTTCTAATCTAACAAAATTTATTGTTTGACAAAATAAAAAAAATCATAGTTTCTAATTTGAGTGTAGACTCCTAACCTTGTCACAATAAGTAGTAATACTCATTTTGAATAACATTGTTAGAATATTTTTCCAAAATAAATTGGGTTTAAAGGACAAATAAGGTAAGGAATTCTAACAGAGTTGCTCAAAAGGACTATTGTTCCATATTGTGATAAATTATGGGACCAATATTCAAGAATTCTTGGTTTAGTGTAAACATGACAATTTCATGTACGATCCGTAACTTGACACGAAACGTCATAAAAAAATACAAATTTCAAGTCGAGGCTTAATGGGTTGGGGTTTTATTGAGCCAATCTATTAAGCACCTATTAAAAAAACGAGTTGATTTACGTCAACCCACTGATAAACCGTGATTTAGTCTCGGTAACGCCATCCCATTTTGCACAATACACGATTTAATCATGAATATTTAAGGGTATATGATGATATATGCCCAATGAATAAGGAAATCATTTTGCTTTATTTATCTCTGTCGTTGTGGATTTATATACGTACATGGAAGTGAGTTAAGTGGTGTGATGACTCAAGATGCCAGACATGGTGCATGCGTAGATGTTGGGTTTTCCTTCTGCTTTTAGGGTGGAATTTGGCTTCCATGCCTATCGAGGAGGTGTTAGATTTATCCAATATAAATCAACCTTTAAGTGGTCTATGTAATAGGAATGTAATATTGGAGAATAATGTTGATTGTGATTTGATCTCTTAAAAATATCAATTCTATATCAGGTGTCTTATATTGGAAATAAGATTGATGGAATCCTTAATTGAATATGATTATGACACTTGACTTGGAGGCTAATAAAGTAAGTTTAGGTTTCCTTTATGGATGGAATTTTAGCATATATAAAACACCGGTCCCTGTAAACCCTAGAACACAACATAATACTTCCCATAAAGTAGTTGTATTTGGCTAAGAGTTTATAGAAGATCCTGGTGTTGTCGTGCTCTGCTACTTTTGTGTTTGACTTCCATGGCTGTCATTGGAATCGGGTCAGTCACTCCTTCGTTTGTGTTTTAATTGTATAACCTTATAAGGCTTACAGTTGGTATCAGAGTCATTGATTATATAATTAAGACCTATTAAGTTTGAAGTTTGATTATATAAAATTTTCATGAATTGCGGTTTTGATCTTACATCCAAATTGTGATTGCACTTGGCAACACCATCACGCCGAACCCCCATGAAATCTGCATAACGTTTCCTGCATATAATTGCATGTACACGGCAACACCACCGTGTTGGAATCTGAGGATGATTAATAGGTTGTATAACCATTCTGTTTTAATCAATCTGGGGAAACTTTATAAAGAATAGCAGCAAGTCGTGGACCAATCCTATAATCAAATAGGAATTTGGAGAAGCATATAAATATATGTATATCGTGCTATTATGTAAAGGTGTTTTTGCTATTATTTTCTTTTGATCCTATAAATTGAAAGCGTTAGTTAAATATAAAAATCAAAGATGGCCGCACGGTTAAGAGGTTGTCGGTGTGGCGGCGTTGCCGTCCCAGTGTAGAGGCCCATATGGCTGGCTCCGCTGTATACGTATACACAGGAAGACACGTTCCCGAGGAGAGAATGAGATCGACTTAATGCACTTATCTTCCACATCATCTTTAATGCCTCACATTTGGGTCACAAGCCCACGTTATTGTACATATTTAACCAGTTAAATATAAAAAGTATGGATAAAATCAAAGACAGAACTAGTTGGTTGCTTCTGCAACAGTATGACTAATATACACAAATATAATTTCAAGTTGTGTATATATTTACATTTTTCTAATCTTGTATTGGAGAAAATTTTGAAATCCCTATACATCAGCAAGCCAATGGAGAAGTTCATCGGCATATGAGATCTTGGTATGATATTTTCTTTTGGTCTTCATGTTCAGTTATACGAGAATGGTAGGTTTTCAAGCACTTCAAGCTTTCTTTATTGTATTCAGTTCCCATAAAGAAAGATTGGAACAGTTTCATCATCTTTACTAAATTAATTATGACTGGAAGAAGATGATATGCTTTAAGCTTTCTATTTCGGTATTCATGCCAATGTTTTGGTTGAAATGATTTAGTGGTAGATACACCTATTTTGGCTAACATTATTGTCAACTTTGTAAGCATATAGAAATATGTACTTCTTTACTAATCTTGCCAAGGAAGACTATGAAGCATCTCAAGTCAGCAGCTCGGTAAAATCTCCTATCAAAGCAAACACTATCGATCATTATATGTGTCAATTGCGAATTAATTAGTTGATCATGCGTACGCTTAGTTTTGACTATTAAGTTTTAAACTTGGTTATCAAAACAAAGAGAAAATATATGTTTTGAACATGATTAATTCTTATATGCATATAAGTGGCATACAGAACGAGGGAAAGAAGAATTTTTTAAGACATGCCAAGATGCATGCATATAAAAGTGCATATATATCTTGTTTGTTCGTGGCTTTTCGTTAGTAATGTGCATGAGTGAGCCTATTGGCTGATCCCAGCAGCCCCAGTCGGTGCTTCCCGGGTGGAAGGGCAACAAGGGGACACTAAGGTTTGGTTTGATACTGAGGTGATTCTGAAAAAAATTGGTATAAAAAAAGCTGGGAGTTGTTTTTATGTTTGGTAAACATTCAGCTTCAGCTTTTTTTCACAGTTTTGGATGAAAAAAGCCAAAAACAAGAAGCTGCAAAACTTAGCTTTGAAAAACCGGTTTTTTTTCACATCTGTTTTATATAAAAGTTTACCAAACACTATAATACTGTTTTTTTTTTCTTTTCAAAAGCACTTTTACAAATAAGTTTACCAAACACTCTGCTGCTTTATTTCACAGCTACTTATTCTCATAGCACAGTAGAAGTAGTTTTTTTTCAAAACAAAATAATACCAAACTAGCTCTAAACATCCCCTCAAATCCTTTACGGACAATTTTTGGAAATTCTTCTTAAACCCCAAATCCTTATTGCCTCTGATTTCCATGGGTAAAATAAATTCATGCAAATCAATTTTTTTTTTAATCAGTTGTCTTATATGATAATGTGTGGGACATATATGTAGACTGAATTGAATTGCCATGACATTCATTATTGTGGGAAGTAATCAATTTGGATTAAAATTTTAAGTTTTGCAAATATGTAGCAAAATTGACGTATGGCGTGTTTTATTAAAGTAATTGGGTTGTCCTATATTGCTTTAAGCTTGAGATGTTCTAATGTAAAGACACAAATGTGTTGATTAGTAATGCAGTATACTAGCACTTAAGTATGATTGGGGATTAATTCAAGTACGGTTTATAATGATATTAACTCCATACGGAATTGGCATGACTAATCAAATTAGTTTTGTCTACAATTTTGCTTTCCTATCTCAGTAGTCATTTAATTGTACATGACTAATGCATAACTTATGGATTGACTGAGAATGACAGAAAGCATCCAGTGACAAGAATAAGGGTATTATACAAATGAATAAGGTTTGTAATAATTATGTGATAATTCTCATT